ATTTTTAGGGCAGTAAAAATAGTCTGATGATACTATACTGGTGAATATGTTAAAATACATTTGTCCATACCACACAATGTACAACACCATAAATGAATCAAATGTAAATTATGGACTTTGGGTGATTATGACGTGTCAATGCAGGATCATCAATTATAACAAATGCACCACTATGGTGGGGGAAGTTGGTAATGGGGGAGGCTATGCATGTGTGGAGGGTGGAAGGTATAAAGAAAATCTCTGTACTTTCCTCTTAATTTTGCTGCAAACCTAAAACTACTATTTAAAAAAAAGTATTTTAAAATGCAGAGACTTCAAAAGTCAAATCAAACATCACAGGGGGAAAAAAGGCAAAAACATGAAAAATGTGGTCAATCATTAGCAGAGAGGTTGAAAAGACACGCTCCAATTGCTTTAAAAATTCACAAAACCCAGGTCTCCTTAAAATAGTTTTGCAAAGTACACTGAGAATTCCATGCAGTAATATGAAACATAAGTCCCACTGCTGCCACTGAACATGCTTCAGCTGGCTAAAGCCAAGGAGCTTGACATTAACCCAAGGCTCTGCAAAACTCAAGAGGAGAGCGCAATGGAGACACAGTTGCAAAGCTGCCCCAGATGTGTACATTTTCTGCTCCATTAAAACGAATTGGATGAGAGGCAAAGAACATTTGGCCCACAGAAAGAGGGAGATGGGAGAGGAGAGACAGGACAGTCAGCCTCATCATAGGCCTTCTTCTCCCCAGACTTGTGTCTCCTCCACTCCTTTCCTGCACTGCTTCTAGAGCAAGCTGTCTAAAATGCAACCATGACCACAAGCCTACCAGGGCTCCCCCAAATCAAGTTGCTTTGCCATGTCTCCATTTTCTCAATTCTTTCTTGAGGTTAATGATACCCACTTCAAGAATTCAGTGTGAAATTAATTGAGATCATGTATTCACAGTGCCTGGCATGCATGATTTATAAGCCTTGGAGGAAAAGTAGATACTACAATTATTGTCACTGAAACCAGGTCATATGAGGGGAGACAGGTGAAGGAAATAAAGATGTCTGGGAAGAAGACAGACAAGATCCTGGGAAGATAGGGTTCGGATTTTTCCCACTTCTGAAGGGCAGGTGTGAGAGTCTTGGTGAACCTAGTATGGCAGTTACAAGATGAAGCATTCTACATAAGTGCAAGAAGAGAGAGCTTTCTAACACTTAGCAGTCTCTAAAAATTAAGGAGTGATATTAAATTGCCTCGCATTAGTATTGTATAAACAGTGTCTAGATGACCATTTGGCAGAAATATTGAAGAGGGGATTCCACCATGATTTGGTTAAACTTGGTGGTTTTAATTGCCTAAGTCTGAAATCTGTATTTTTGAGCTATCATTGCTTGCCAGTCAGTGAATCATCAACATCTTGAGTTTCTGGAATGTGTAAAGCCTGGGGCTACACTCTACGGGTCAAGGAAAAAGTACACTGATTCAGATTTTCACTAGGATGGAGGAGGCGCAGTATGACACATAGTGGGTTCTCCATGAAGCTGTGTTAGTAGACTGAATATTTGAGTCACACTGGAAGCAGAAACTGATATCTCTCTGATGTTATCCAAGTATGTCTCTTTGAGCAGCCTGTGCCAATCATGCCTACTTCAACATCTATCTTGTAGATTTACATGCAAAATGCATTTGAATCTGTGTTGGCTGTGACTGTATCCATGTCCATTGTCTGCTCTTCTTTCTGGGTTCTTGGGAATTGGGACTGCTCCTTTATGAGAATGATTTATACTGACTTGGGTAGGGTATTTTACAGTAATATTTACTATATTCATGAATGTGTCTGTCTTACAAAGAGTGGGATCAGTGTTCTGCCCTTTGATCACTGGTAATGGGAAAGACAGAGTCGAGATTCAGCTCCGACTCTGAAAAGGAGGAACAGGCTTTCAAGAAAAACCATGCAAGAGGTTTGTTATGCATTCTCTCTTTGTGTTGCTCTTTAATGCATGTATTTATTTTTATAAGTATTTACTTTCCAGTTCTGTGCTAGGTACCTGGGATGCTGAAGTGACTCAACCTTTGTCTCTACTCTAAAAGCTCTTATTCCAGTGAGGGACAAAATTCTGTAGTAGAAAGGGCTGCCCTGTGCTTGAGGAGCATGGGTGACTGGGGAAGGCTTCACAAAGGAGATGACATTTGAGCTGGTTTTCAGAGTAAGTTGAGATCATTATGCATTTGGGGAGGAAGAACTTCCCAGGATGAGGGCAAAGCAAGCACAAAGGCTTGGACCTGCTAAAACATGCTGTTTTGAGAAATGTCAAATAGTTTTGGTGTCTGAAGTATACTGTATCCAGGAAGGTGGTGTAATATAGTAACTACAAATCTGAGAGGGCTTGTACATAATGTTTACCTATTCCAAAAAAGTCGCCCACAGGTCCACCAGGGAAAGTCACAGATTTATTAAAACTTAAAGGAGGCACTGATGGTAGCAGGTCACTGAGGAATCTGTACTCTCAACAAGAGACCTCATGCTGGCTGTCCAGCACCCCTAGACATGCTGACAACCGTGGGCGACACTCCTGAGGACACAAATCTGGATGCAAGAATCATCACTGTGACCAAACTGGGGAAGTGAGAATAATCTGCTGCTACCTGCCCCACAAGACATAGTACCCAGAGAGAATACTCTCCATCAGCCCTGGGAAGTTCAATCTGAACCCTGTTGGTGATCCCTGTTTGCTTCCTGGGGAGAGGGACTAGATCATAACTTAGATATTGATCCTATGGTTATGGAAAAATGAACAAATACTATTAAATGTAATAATACCAGGTCTCAAATACTTGGTATGGGACAGACTACGATGATTTACAGCTTAGACGTCAGAAATCATGCCCTGCTGTGTATTGAGTGCCTTAATGGCACCATTAATAAAACTGCCCAAGATGTAGACTGGACCTCTGAACACTTGTGTCCTTTATATCACTGGGGGAAATACTAGTACATTGCTGAGGGAAATACTCATGTGTCTGTTGTTGAAGGAAATATCAGTATGTCATTGCATATGCAGGAAATGGATGCAATTTTTGACATGGGTATCCACCTCAGAGAACTTGCAGAAGATTATTAATGTTATGTGAAGATTGTGAGGGTGGAAAAAGTCAATGTAGGGGCGAAGTGTGAGGTATTGTCTGGACATGAGCTGTTTCTCCCCTCCCTCAGGGAGCAGCCTCTGGCAAAGGCTGGTCTCTGAAGGAGGGAAAGAAATAGTCCATGTCTGGACAATGCTTCACAGGTGGTAAGAGATGGTAATATATTTTGGGATCACTCACATTTAGATGCAGAGAGGAGGCTGGCCATGGGGCTACTTGAAATCATTTTGAAAACTAGTCTGGAACTTCATGAACTTTCATTAAATATGGTCAACTCTGCATGACCCATCTTGTGAAATATCAGAAGTCTTGCTACATATTACTTCCCCTTGACCACCATAAGAATGTATTCTTAAAACAAAGACTCATTTAAGATCAGTCCAAATAAATCATAATCATGAAGATAAATCTGCTGGAACAACTCAGAGTAGCTCCTCTTTTATCCACAAGCATTTGGGGCAAGATAGGATCTGCAACAAGACAACTCGTGGTTATTTCTGGCTGGTACCACATAACCAGTGGGTTAGTTTGAAGAAACTTTATCTGACCTGCACATTTGGACCTGAGAACTATGTACTGATGGGATTCATCTGTATAGCATACTTCCTAGATTACAGTGAAATAAATACCTGCTTCATTATTAGTGCAGCTGATGTGAAATGGAGCACAGTGTTCTGACTTTATAAATATTGAATGTTTTCTGATTATAAAGTAATACAACATTGTGAAAAATACTCTTTTATATATATGTATATGAATATAAATACAAGGGAAAACAAAATCACCTACCACTACTAAGAAAATCACTATTAACATTTTAGTGCACTTATTTTATTTTATCTTACAGGTTGAGTTCATTAAAATGAATTTCAAAAAAATATATAACATTTAAATGAGCCCAATACTTCTACTAAGCATTCCTTTATGAGAATACTTTTCTCACTGTAATGTCATTTTTAGTACTCCTAGAGTAGATTGTAAGGGTTATGAGGAGGGGAAAGCTATGTTATTCATATAGCAAGTTAATTTTGGCACAGGAATCCACAACCAAGACATAAGTTCTGATACACTAACTCCGCAAGGCCCAGAGATCCAGGTATTTGTTTTTTCATCTCTCTACCACCAGTCCCTAGCCCAGAATCTGGCATGTGGTGTGAACCCAATGAATACTGGTTGTTTGAATAAATGGATGAATGAATGGATGGGGAGTATTAATCTTCACCCAAAATTCATTAAGCCCCTGCTGAGTACCAGGTCTGGGCTAGGCAATGCCAATATAAGTAGCCATTATTTGACATAAAACCCACCCTCTCAGAGGCATCCCTGTGAGGGGCTGACCCCCTCTAATGTGAGATAGGGTTCCTATGAGTACAGAGCCCAATCAACTCCGTTTTGACTGGTGCTCATGGCTTATCTGGGGGGACACAAGTCCCTCCTGGTCTCTTTGATTTGTGATATTAGAGACAGAGCAAAGACTGACTTTCCATGCAGTACCTTTCTGAACTCCTCAAAGTGCTCCAGAAATGCCTATCCCTGGGCCTGCCTTCTTAGAGCGCCCCTCCACCGCCTGCTTTATTCCAACTTGTCCCAGTGCAGTGGCATGCTGAGCGGGTACCTTGATAGAGAAAGGCCACAGGGAACAGGGACGCCACAGCTACCTCAGATGAGAGCACCCTTGACAAATCGCCACCCCAGCCAGCTGGCCCAACTGGAAATCCCAGATAAGCCCCAATTCTGGTCAAAACTGGTTTGGCAGCTCTGGGGGAATGTTTCTGTCAGAGTGACCCTCCCCACAGCGAGAGCTGGCAGCTTTGCAAAAAAAGAAAAAGAAAGAAAAAAAAAAGCAAACTAAAGGACCTGAGGGGGGTGGCTAAATTTGAAACACTGCAAACTTCTGCTTGATTGCAAGTGCAAGTTTACACTTTGGAATTCAAACAAGATTGCCTCCGCCCCCACCCGGCATGCATTCTCACACACTCCCTTCTCCTTTGCAGCACAGTTTTGTTGCAATGCAAATTGTTTAGCAGTGCGATTGTTGAAGTAATATAATCCTGCCCGCAGCTCGACTTTTGGTCAATGCAATTTTTTTTTCCTGCAACGCTATTGTTATTATTATTGCAACTTAATCTCTCAGTCTCCTTCCCTCCGTCTGCGAATCGCGCTCCGGCTGTGATTGCTCGGGTCTGACTTTGCGAGTGGCGGTACGCTTCCAAACCCCCCTCATCCGCCCCTCGTCCCCCTTTCCCCTCCTCCCTCCCTTTTCCGCGCCCAGGCGAGAGCAGACGATTGGCAGAGCTGTGCTTTCAGGAACAATAACAGTGGGGGGAGCCTGGGTCCCGGGGAGCCGCCCCCACCCCCCAGCTCCGCAGCGCGGCGCGCGCCCCCCGCGGGGTCCCCACCTCCGCGCCCGCCCCGCGGGCTGAGCGGCCCGAGCCGGGCCCGCCCCCGGCGCCCACCATGTACGCCTTTGTGCGGTTCCTGGAGGACAACGTCTGCTACGCGCTGCCCGTGTCGTGCGTGCGCGACTTCAGCCCCCGCTCGCGGCTGGATTTTGACAACCAGAAGGTGTACGCCGTGTACCGGGGCCCGGAGGAGCTGGGCGTCGGGCCCGAGAGCCCCCCGCGCGCCCCCCGCGACTGGGGCGCGCTGTTGCTGCACAAGGCCCAGATCCTGGCGCTGGCAGGTGAGCGAGCGGACGGGGAGGGACGGTGGGACCCGGGAGGGGGCCGGGATCCGGGGAGGGGCCGGGCCCCGGGGCGGAGGGGGCCAGGAGAGCCACTGCTTGCTCCTGCCTCCTCCTCCAGTCTCCTGGGCTTTTCATTTGGGGTGCGGGGGTCTCTAAGAGGCCAGGCCAGTTAAAAAGACCGGATAGTCCCCTTTGTCTTCCCCGCTTCCTCGACTCCCGCGCTGTCAGTTTTCATCTCTGTCTGTCCTCCTTCTGATTCTTTGTGTTCTCCCCATTCCTTCACTTTCCCTTTCTCTCCTCCTGTTTGTACCATCATCTCTCGCCTTCGCTTTACCTCTCTCCCCGTTCCTTCCCTTCCTGTTCCTTTCACTCTCCTTAAGTTTCTCAAGCTGTCTCTCTCCCTTTAAGGCCACTAGTACCTTCTTGGAGTGAGGAGCCAGGTGGATGTTGTCATATCTTCTAAGTGGGAGGCCCTCCCTACAGAGGGAAGCTATGACATCCTTGTCCCATCGGGGCCATCATTGGACAGGATGAGAAAGCCTTGAACCTCTGTGCATTGGACACCACTCTCTCCTGCCCCTCCCTGGTGGCAGAGTTAAGGAGGTAGAGGCCTTAAGGCATCTCTCAGCCTCCACACCCCTTTCTGAATCTCCCAGAAGGCACCCTGAGAGCTGGGGTCCAGAAAAGGCTTCTAGGTTATGGTAAGACCAGATTTCCCATCCCTGCTCTCCTAGGGCCCCGGAGAGATAGGCTAAGGCAGGTATTCTTATCCCCATTTGACAGATGAGGATACTGAGGTTCAGTTGGTAATTGGTCAAGAAACCAGCCCTTTATACTCCTGCACCCCAGTTCTTTCTGCCATGCTGAGACACCTTTCCTTTGTAAAAGAAACCAGCCCTTTATACTCCTGCACCCCAGTTCTTTCTGCCATGCTGAGACACCTTTCCTTTGTAAAGAGAAGTCAGTTGGCCCTTTTTCCCAGGTAGTTTCAGAAGGCTAGGTCCTGGCACACAGGGAAGAGGACAGTACCACTTCCGTTTTGGGTAGCAGCCTTTTAGCTGCTGCTGGTAAGGAAAATGTACTGTAGAGTGGGCAGAGACAGTAAGTCACCCCGCCCTCTACCTGGAAAAGCATACCAAGGGTTAGGAACTGAATGAAGTCATTGTTAGTATTTTATAATTTTGAGATCTTTCTTAATTTTTTTTCCAGTTTCCTTTTCTTTCTCACATTTAGCCTAAAAGATTAACCCAACATTCTTTCAACCCATTGTGACTTGCCCAGGGTCCCATGACAAGTTAGCTGTAGATTAGAGCTCAGCCTCACAACTCTGGTTCCTTTCCACTGCCTCATGTTGCCTCTGAAACACAGGTCTGCAGGAGTTCAGGAGTGGAAGAACTGGAAACTGAGCAGCAGCACTGGGTCCTTCCTTTGTAACTGACTTTATCCTTACTACCTCCCTGACAAGCCCTGGTTCACACAGGTGTAGGCCTACCCACTGCCACACACCTGGGACCAGAAAAACGGAGTGAGGGGAAGTAGGTTTTAGAAAAGGGAACTCTTTGTGGCTGATTCGGTTTTATTTTGTTTGCTTGCTTGCTTTTAATTACCTGAGGAAAGGGATTAGGAATTTATTTACAAGAGGATAGGCCTGAGGAAGTTAGAAGTAGGTTGTAACCTTAGCTTCCCTTTTGCTAGAAGAAAATAAAGCATGCTTCTTGATTGTATCACACTTCTGGGTCAGAAGGGTCCTAGGGGAGTGGAAGTGATGTGTATCAGGGAGAGTCAGTGGTATGTGTCTTAGTGTATAATAACTGTTTTCCTCTTTTAGAGATTGTTTCATCCATCCAGTAATCCATTCATTCATTCAGTAAACTTTTATACACTATGCTTGACTCTTCAGGCACTGCAGAGAGCTCACTTAGGAAGATAGCAACTTTCACCAACTCTGATTTTAAAATTGACACAAGCTCATAAGTAAGACACATGTAGCTATTGATCTGAGAACGAGGAATTTTGAACCTATGGTCTATTCATCCTCCCATCTCTGGGATTATTAAAAGAGTAAAAAAAAAAAAAAAAAAAAAACCTAGGCAACATCTGAAAGAATAGATTCAAACAAGTATGGTGCCAATTTGAGTGAGTTGAAAAGTGTTTCCCTTCACTTCTCTTTGATTTTGTTCTTGGGAGGACAAAGGAAAAAAAAAGACAACAACTTGAAGTTGGCTAGACCACATTTTGAATTTTAATCAGCTGGTTAATTTTTAAATTGGAGTTGCTGCCCTGGCTGCAGATCTGATTGGAAGGGCCAGAGTGAGTTTGGGAATTCATTTATCTTTGAAGAGCACTATGTGTGTCTTGAAACCCTACTTTGACTTACACTTGGGGACTCTGAAAATTGCCTGCAGTGACTTCATTGTAAAGAGCTCATCTGGCATCTCCTAGATGTTAACACCACTGTGTGTAGCACCAAGTATAAGGATCAGCTAATCAAGAGAAAGGCAGAGGTGGCTTTGTTTATGGACTAGCCACTAGTTGATTAATTAGTCTTTCTCTCTGGCACCAATAGCATGGTTTCAGAAGTAGTTTGAGCACCACTTTATGGCTTTTGGTTAGAAGTGTGTTATTTTACAGAGTATTTGTCTAGGCCAACCCAGAGCTGTCCAGAGGTGTACCTCTTCTTATACCCTGAAAATCTCAAAGCCAACTGCTGTGGGACTTTGCATTTTACTGCCTGTGGGTCTTACACCATGGTTTCAATATGTGTCAGACCCTTGCATATAGCCTTCTTCTTAACAAATTACGATCCCAGTTCAAGGGAAAACAAAAGCCTTCCTTTACTGACAGTCTTGCTATGTGCCTATACATTATTTCTGTTAGTCTCCTCAGTGACTCTTGGGTAGATATCGCTATGGCTAATATTTCCATTTTATAGATGAGGACAATGAGGCTCAGAGACTTGCCTGCAGCCACACAGCTAATAAATGACAAAGCCGGAATTGGAACACAGGTCTTCCAGTGCCAGGCCCCAGCTTGGCAGTCTCCTTTGTAAAGTAGCTGATGATCCCATCAGCCACACAGCATGGCTTGGAAGGAGTGAAGGAAATGGAAAATTGTCTGTGAAGCTTACAGCTCAAGGCAAGTTTTCAAGCTAGGGAACAATTTTAGTTTCTGAGTTTTCAAGTTCATTCTGTTCTTCCTCTTCCTCCAATACCAGCCTCCTTCCTATAGATCACACACACCTATCCCCACTCCCTGCCCTGCCCTTCAGTTGTCATTTCCTTGAAGAAATACTCTCAAAGAAACTCCTATCCCTCATGGGAGATCTACATAACTCAAAACTTGACTCACCTTTGAATTGTAGTCTCTTCTTACTCATGTTTGCCAAGCAGTTTGTGGAAGGGAGAACTACTCATCAGGAGAGCTTGCCACTATCTAGCTGCAATCCAATCTGCCACTGGGGCTCATGGGACTGGATTTTGTATTTTTTCAGGGGACCCAAACTGGTTTCTCTAGGCTTAGAGTCTGAGAATTCTGAGTTTTTCTATCCAGGTACCTGTGTTCTATTACTGTTGATTGGGTGTGCCACATTCCCATTGTCAAGGTATCCCCTTACTCCTTCCTATATACCAGGCCCAGTGCTGTAATAAGTGAATACACCAGTACACCAACGTGTCTCAGGTACTATGGTTAAAATGATAGCACCACCCAGGGGATCCACTTTTCATATCCTGCTATGTAGGCTTTCTGTGGGGAATGCGTGATAAAGAATAAATGAGTACCATCCTCAGGGAGCATGTAGTCTGGGAGCTCCAGTGAAAGTGCTAAATAGAGTTAGAAGCCAGGCACTGGGGGAGCACAAATAGAAGACCAATTCTAGGTGGGCTGTACAGTTTATCTTTTAAGTTTTTCCTTTCTAGCTTCATTACCCCTACCTGCATTCAGACCTGTATCTGCCCCTATGCATCCAAACCAGTGCAGTAGCTATCTGATCGATCACCTTGTCTCTGATCAATTTTCCAAATTTCTTTCAGAATAATCTTCTAAAACACAGTCTTAGTCAATTGACTACTCTCAGTAAAATCTTCTGTAGTTCCCTGTAGCCTACTGAATAAAGTTTCAGTTTTTTAGTTTGACATTCATAGCCCTCTTCAGACCCCCTCAGCCCCATCTCCACCTCATTTCCCCAGCCTCACCCCATGTCTATCCTCCTTCCCTAAGACCTGTAGCATGTCTTGTTTTTCTGTGAACACACTCTCCTGCACTCCTTTGAGCCAGCCAGGAAGGATTAATCATTGTCTGGCATGGGGCCTCTGCCCACAAGGAGCTCACCTTCTGGTGTGGAAGGCAGACCTTCACAGACATTTGTGGTTCAGCACCTGAGGGTTGTAATGGAAGAGTGGACAAAGCACTTTGGGAGTCCCCTGCCCCAGGGGCATTCCCTACTCCTCTGTCTGGCCCCAAGTGAGACTCCCTCCTCCGTCCTCAGATCTCTTTGCATTTTGCTTGTTTCTTGCTTATGGGTCTTAGCATTTTATGTCTTGTTATGGTTAGTTGTGAATGTGCTTCTCTTCCTGCCTGACAGTGAACTCCTCCAGGATGGGGGCCTGCCTTGTCTCTGCATCTGCTATGCCCAGCTGGTCAGCCCATGTTGAACCCATGAACTTTGGGAAGACAGGTGCATTTTTTTTTTTTTAATGTGAAGAATGGGAAGTAGGGCAACAGGAACCTCTGTAGCAGCAACTTGTTTTTCATAACACAAACCTGAAATGGGATTTTAAGATTTCATTCAACTTTGTTCATCGGGAAAAAGGCAACATTCTTTATTACTCCCTTGACTAGAAGAAACCCCACACTTGGGGGAAATAGCTTCCAAAGTCACGTTCTTCTTGCTTTGGTAATTTTAGCTCATTCAGGGCTCAGGTCCCAGTTTGGCATTGTTAGTCCAAATAGATCACTTGCTCCAGAAATGCTTTGGAACTTCTACAAAATTAGCAGTG